AAAGCAGTGAGAGTGAGAGAAGGCACACTGCTGAACTCCTCAGAGCCAATTAGGTGCCTCAATAATTAGCAATTCTAACAGACCTGCCCCCCTGGAAGGGGCAGCCCCCAGCCTAGGCCCTGCTGCGGTTCTCTTCCGGCTGTTTTCCAAGGAATATGCACACTCCAGGATGAAAGGATGCACACTCCAAGGATGACAGCAGGACTCCTGAGGGAGATGGATCACCCTGGTGCTCCAGGTCTGGGTGCACAGCACCCAAGTTGGCACTCACTGAAAAGATTCAGCTTTCCACTTGTCAAGCACTCGGTAATTGTTCTGCAGACATCTGTGGCTCTCTCTCCTCAAACATATTCCCAATACCTGCTGTGTTTTGGGGCTTCTTTAACTGTGTTCAACCGAGTTACCAACACACCGGCCCACCTGTCCTCCTGCCCCTTATTTTCCTTTGAAATAATCTCAAGCATGTGATTTTTCCATCTCAGTATCACGGTGAGATCAGGATCTGCCTTGGCTGTTTTATTTAATCTGTTGGGAATGACCTTCCTCCTCCATCCAATTACACGGAATCTGCTTTCTCAGCAGGGCCATTTATGATCATTGTCTCGGATTTTCTGTACTGCTTTCCATTTTCCATCTCAGAAATTTTCATGCTTGCACTCAGTAAAAAGTGACAAGAAGCGCTGGGATGTTAGCACCACTCTGGGAGATGCCCGATTCCAGAAATGTTACCCTGTGAGCTGCAGGCCACCGTGGGGGACACTTATGGGGGAGGAGGGGACAGTGCCCACCGTGTGGCATCTTCAGTTCTTCTCATCAGCACGTGGGAGGAGCCCAGAGGCTTTGCACCAGCCAAGAACCCAGCGAGGCTCAGGGCAGGGCCGGTTGCTCCGGCCCCTGCGGCTGACAGGAGGCTGTGCCTGGGGTTAGGATTGCTCTGTGCCCAAGGAACGAGCCTGGATGGTTCCAGGATGAAGGAAGCCCTGGCACTGCTCTCCACTGCTCTGCAGTGGGACCACGCAGGGCAAATCCAAACTTCAGTCCAAGGAAAAAGGACTAAAGAGGGGCAGAGTCACCTTTTCTGCCCCAGGGCAGCATTTGCCACAAACTGAACCAGAAAGGGTTTTCATAATTCTGGGAGCTGTTGGCTGCAGGGTGTGTGACAGCTCTGGTTTCTGTGTTCCACGAATAGGAGGCAAACCAGAGAATTCCTTTCTTTAGGGTTCTTTGGGAACACCCTGACCCATGAGTACAACCTGCAGAGATAAATCCAAAAGTAAGTCTGAGGCTCACCTGCTTTTTCAAGGATCAATGACAAATGCACAAGTGTCATTTGTTTCCTGCTCTGCTGTCATAACTTCTTTTTATCCTGTGCCAGCAAAATTGAGTCTGTCCAGAAAATAAACGCAGTGCAGCACAAGAAAACCTCCAAAAGTGGGAAGTTAAACAGAATGTGGAGTATTGGTGGTTCAGTTCTACAGAACTGACATGAACAGGAGCAGCAGTTTGCTCGAGTGCTCCTTGTGCAACATCAGCTTTTCCTAGGGAGGCAAGAGGGGCTGGCAGTGCAGGTGTTTCAGGTGTAAACCTGGGCACATTCCCTGTTAAGCACCACTAAGCTCAGCTCTTTTATTTTTGCCAGGTAGGTGCAGTCAGTGTTTGTTTTGTGTCTGAAGCAGCTCCTCACAGGTGCTAGGAAATGCCTCTTCTTACCTAAAGCCAAAATGTTCTCACCTGGCCTCTGGAGTTTTGACCCAGCACGGAAATGTGATGAAATCCATGTGTAAGCAGTGTCCAAGCCCCATGCAGGAAATGTCTGTGCCAGCTTTAGGATTGCACAGGGAAAGGGAGAGGGTATTTGCATCTCAGGTGGAGGAGATCCTCAGGTGGCTCTTTGATTGCTGCTGTCATCCAGCAGAGAGAACTGATCTGAGCAGGTTTAATGCTGGCAGCACCTCTGACCAGCCACATGGACACATTAAACTGTCCTCCCTTAGGGCCATCTGGCCCTTGCCAACCTTCCAGTGGCCATGAAGATAAACTGCAATGCAAATTGTGCTAAAAATTCAAAGGGCGAGAGTAAAACTCCTGTCTGCAGAATTCTTGATTTGTGCTTGTGGCCATCTGCTGTTGCTGTCCCTGGCAGCAGTGACCTTCCTCTGCTGCCTCTGTCGGGTTTCATTCCCTCACCTCTTTGGTTGCCACACTGGCATTTAAATGCTGCCTTCTGGCTATAAACTCCTTTTCCTTTTTTTCTCTGTATTTCTCCCTGTATGGAGGTGTGCTGGAACAGAAATTTCCATCCCAGCAGCGTATCTGCCCCTGGACACATGACACAGTCCCACTCCCCCATCTCAGTGTGGGCAGCACCCTCAGCTCCAAGGAGCTGTGGAGAGCGAGCCTTGGTCCCTTAGGGAGCATGGAGTGATCAGCCCCAGGGACAGGAAAGCACAGACAAATGCCACGCTCAGCCCTGAGCAGGAGGAGTCAGAGCCAGTGGTCTAGAACCTGCCATAATTATCTCTATAATTGTGCTGTAATTATGGTGTGACAGTGCAGGGCTGCAGTGCAGAGAGTGCAGCCCTTCCACCGAGGCTGGGGATGTTACTTAGGGGGTTTTGTGTCAGCCTCGTGTCTGAGCAGCTACAATAACTAAAAGGAAAATTTTACAGAAATGTTTTCAGAGAGATTGCTCCAAAAACTGGTGCAGCTTCTAGGGGGACAAAAGATTGAAAAAGATTTCTGCTGAATTCCTCTCAGAAAGCACAGACCCACTGGTTCAGCTATGGAAGGATTGGATATTATGTTCCACAGAAAGAGACAAAAGCAGAAAGGTAAAAAGGTCTCTCTCCCATCCTTCCCCAAACACACTCCAAGGAAAAGGTTTCAGAGGATGAAATAACAAAGAACTGGTTCCTACTCTGCAGTTCAGCCCTACATTTGTCAGTGCTGAGTGAGATGACTGCTGCTGCTGTGCAGTCCCCATCAGAGGAGACTCCCCTCGAGAGCTGCCACACATCAGGTGGCACCGGCCACAGCAGCTGCAGAGGCAAGGTCCAGCACAGCTGCTCTGGAAGAGGAGGCTCCTCTGAGCACAGGAGACAGGAGCTGCAGTACCAGTGCTGCCATGGGTGCCTCTGCCCCTGTGGGTGCAGTGATGGCCTCAGGCTGCAGAGCTGTGCACCTCTCATTTGTCATGGTGACATGGCAGGCACTGCCTCAAATGCTGCAGGGTGCTCATCAGTGTGTGGTACTGCACCTACATCCCTGCAATAACAGCACTGCGTATACATTCTATTTTATAGGGGGTAACTGTGTCCTGAAGTCATACAAACATGTAAAAATTACACTGTTCACAAAAAAAAAAAAAAAAAAAAAAAAAAAAAAAAAAAAAAAAAAAAAAAAAAAAAAAAAAAAAAAAAGCAGCATTGCCATTACTGTCAATAATACAGAACATGAGGGTATGCACCTCACCTGGAAACATCTAAAGATCAGAGCATTTCCATCCTGGAAGTGCTTCCCAGATGGACCCTCTGAGGATTTATAGAAGCATGCAAGAGCAAAATACAGGCTAAACATATTTGGGGTGGAAGGACAAAAGAAGGAACTAAGACAATTATTCAAGTTGAGCCTCATCTAGGGTCAGTTCTAGGTCTCAGACAGATCTGGTGAGGCCCCATTTCTGCTGCACTCCTCTTTCTGCACGGCCTGACGTGGTGCTCTGGGGCTGGCTGCAAACTCTGCCCCTTCTGGGCTTTGCCTGAAACACTGCACAGCGTGCCAGGCAGCAGGGACTCATCCCGAGACTTCTGAGTCATTCCTGGTCTGCTGGAAGCCAACACTGCACTGACACCCACCTCCTACCTGCTCTGCACTCCCAGCTTTTCAGTCTCTCCTCTGAGGGACACAGACCAGAGCAATGCTCTGGTTTTTCTGCCTTGTGTTCTTTGATGATTTGTGAAAACATCTCTCAGGGCAGTTGATAACTTCTGGCTTTGTATTGCAGGCAGTTTTTCTCCTGGTATTGGCTCCTTCAAAGCCTGAAAGATGAACTTTTTCCCCTCGCTTGCCAACTTAATGGAGGTCGCCTTCCTGCTACTCAATTAGATTGCGTTTCTGCCATGCTGGATAGACAGGAATAAAAAGGAAAGAAAGCATAAAGAGACCCCAAAACTGCCACTATTTCCCATTTTTGGCATTTCACGTTGCACAGAAATCAATTCCCATAACTCCCATTGTGGGAACACCTAAAATCTGAGGTTCATCTAAGCTCCACTGAATGAGAATTAGAAACAGGGAGTGTAATTTTAATGCAATTTTAGGACTGAGACATAGGCTGAACTTACATGAATCTCATTGTTTTGAAGCTCCCTGATGCATAAGCCTTGACTTTTCATGTGACACAAAAAGTTGTCATTGATCTTTACTTCTTTATTTTGCCCTTCAGCCAGTTAGGTATTATGAGCTCCAAATTCCAGAACTGCAGCTTTTTGCTTTAATTTCAGGGCACAAAATGATGCTGCAGCCTCTGACTGATCAGTAGAGGTTACTACACTAAATGAATTACACAAGTGCACGGGCAGAGTGAGAGAAAGGCGAATCAAAGCATTTCATCTACAACTTTTCCCCTTTTACAAATCATCTTGGAGGAATGCAAATCACCCTGCACTGCAGCTCACTTGTCTCTCAGTTTCTGCCCCATTAGGCAGCGTTGTGTCCCTTGAAGTCTCTTCCAGTTTCTTACACTTTTTTCTCTTTCTTTCCTTCCCCCTCTGTCTGTTAGAACTCCGCTCTTCTTGCTCCATCATTCTCCCTGACAGACTCCTGCCTGCAGCTTTGGCAGAACGCTGCTCTTTGTTGTAGTTCCTGTGATGATCTGTTTTGGTGCCCAGAGTGGCAGCTTGTTTCTGGAAAGACAGATCTGATCAAAGTGAAGATCTCTGCTCGCTGAATTCCTCATGTAAATGACTCAAACTCTTCTGTGGAGGGATTGGGCCTCTCCTTCTTTCCTTCCCTGTGCACGAAGGAATGTGGGTGCCTGACTCTCAGAGATGGGGAGACAGGGACAGGTTTGTGTCAGAGCAAAGAAAAGGAAGGTGGGAGAAGGAGGAGACTCCTCCTGTCCGACCGTGGCTGGACCCTGCAGAGCCCGCTTGTATCAAAACATTTCCCTCTCCGATGAGTCTGAAAATATACAACACAGAAAAGTGGCTGTGATTTACCTCTAAGTGTGGCAAAATATTTTAAATAAAGGGCAAAAGCCTGTCTGCTCTTTTTATTGCATAGAAAAAAGCAGCGTGAACAGATAAAATGCTCAGGCACCAGATGAGAGCAGACAGAGCCAATAAAATGAGAAATAAAGAAGGTGTTTTATTGTGCTCTGTGGATGGGTGGATGGTGTCTGAAATCTCTCTCCCCACCTCCCTGTGCACGGGCTGGATGCCAAATAGCCCTTCCTGTAATTGCTGCCTCGTGCTTGCTGAGCAGTTTGAGACAGAGCAACAGGGTAATGGCCTCTGTAAAACCCCCCAGTGGCCTCTGTAAAACCCCCCAGTGGCCTCTGTAAAACCCCCCAGGGGCCTCTGTAAAACCCCCCAGGGGCCGTGTGAAGCCCAGGACTGAGGTCTCCAGCAGGGCTTTAACCACTGCAGGAAGAATCCAGCACATTGGGCTGATCCCAGGACGTGCAGCACACATCCATAAAACCAGCCAGTGCCAGCCTCTTCCGAGTGCAGGCAGATGAGTGGTCCAGGAAAAGGTCCTGGGGATTGTGCAGAGTAAGAATGTTCTGGGCCCATCAGATGGTTTAGGCTCAGCCCCTGTATGACACATGGTCAGCAACCCCAGCGTGTGGCCCTGGAGTCCATCCAGGGACCTCGTGTCCCATGGATGCAGCAAGGCACCAAGCCCTGCTCTGGAGCCCCTCACAAATGGGCAATCAGACACTGCATTCAGAGTGCTGTTTTGGGATAAAATGTGCATTGTTACCTCCTGCTGAATCAATTCAGAAAGTTTTGAAGATCCCTTTGTCTGAGACAGTAAAACACTGCAGGGAACACGCAGGAATGACTTGAGTGTTCAGGCCTTACTGAAAAGGAAGAGTCCTGGGAACCAGGAATGCTGATTGTTAAAAGGAAACGCCAGGACTCACTTCAGAATTGCTTTGTCCTTTCTGTGATCAGTCTTCACATGGTGACACATCATCCTCGGGAGGACATCCTGCCCAAAGAGAGAGAAAAGGAAAAGGGATTTCTATGAATGCCTACTCTTAAGTTTTAAGAAAAGCATGATCATATAAAAGGAGTAATACTAAGAGAGTAGGGAATGTTCTGGGGGGGAAAAAAGCAGATTGTGCATTCCAGGCACTGTCAGAATGGACTTGGCCACCAAGTTCAGCTGCAACTGCAGCAGCTGAATTTGCTGGATAACATCTTCTGTGCAGAGAAAAGCTCTTCACACAGACTTCTGACAGAGTTTGTATTTTGCTAAGGAAAAATCCCCAACCCTTGCCATGTGAACTGCACATGCCTTATACACATATTTTGTAAATATATTTCAGACCAATGTGGAAGAGCAACAGTTTTGGAAGGTGAGGTATCAAAAGAGAGCAATTGGTACAGCCAGCTGCTCCTCTGTGAGGCTGCACAGGTGCCCCGAGGCTGCTGAATTTCAGTGTGAGCTCAAACTCAACCCAACAGTCAGGATTCGCCTTTTTAACTCCTCCTCTTAGGAATGCATCCATTCACCACTTCCAGGTTGTGACTATGGATTTTCATATTAAGAAATATTTTCATATTAAGGAATATTTGCTTCCTAATAGAGGATATATTAAAAATATTAATTTGGGGTACTTTAAAAATATTTGTATTATCACAGAATAATTTATTATCCTATACATTCCTTACTGATATCAAAAGACAGAGAAGAGATTGATGAAGAATTAGATTGGCCCAGCAGAATCCAGTGCCTGCATTTCCAAGTCCCACTGGAAGGTCATGGCTGTTGACATTTAATCCACTAGATTTGGTCTGGTGTGGAATTTTGGCCTCTGCAGCAGCCAAGCCCTTTGCAGGTGCAGGTGTTGCCCTGTTCTGCAGCAGCACCTCAGGTGAGAGGAGAGGCTGTTGTGACAGGAGGTTGTGTTTGCTGCTGCCTGTGGAGCACAGCCCGCATCCCCGAGGCTCCAGGGACAGACGGGAGCTGGATGTGCCTGGGCAGTTCTTCTGGAACAGCTCTGTGCAAGAGGTGGGGGCTTGCCAGAGCTCTGGAATGTGCTTCCATGAGTGAGCAGAGAGGCAGGAGAGCTCCACAGACAGAGTGCCCCAAAGGGCTCCTTACTGTGGGAGCCAACACGGAGTAGCTGTGCTGAAGCTCCATGGAATGGGTTTGTCCCAGCCAGGGCTGAGCCTCGTTCATCCTCTGGGCTCCTGCCATGGATCATTCCCGTTCCCAGAGCCAAGGCAGCACGTGGTGCCTCAGTGACCCTTCAGGGACCTGCTGGCTGGGCAAGGCTGCAGAGCCCCAAGAGGAGCTGAACCCCTGACCCTGGCCAGGGCTCCACCAAGCCACAAACGCTGCCTCAGACAGAGCCCTGCCCAGAACAGGTCAGGAGCTGTGGCAGGAACCACCTCCCAGCTCAGCACCATGTAACAGGGCTGGGAAAAACAGCAATTAATGCATTAATTACTGATCACCCAAGAAGGATTTGTACAGACAGACACTAACCTAACTCGTATTTCACTGCTGTTCTCCTTTCTCACAGGGAGTGAGGCAAATCTGATTCTGCTGTAGCTGCCAGATGTGAAGAGCAGCCCCGAAAGGCTGGGTTTGTGCAGGGTTTGCTCACTGACTGCAGGCTGTGCTTCGGCTCTGAGCTCACTTCAGGCTTCTGCTCACTGATTCCCCACAGACACCCCAGCTTCTCAGTGTCCCTGGAGCAGTCAGAATGTCCCAGTCAATCAGTAAATCCAAGTCGAGAAACAAATATCCATACTCACGACTGCAGAAGGGGCTTGGGGCATTTTCCAATTGTCTGAGGAACTTGGAAACTTGCTAAATCTCCCATTCCTGGCAGGGATCTCAGAAATGAGGAATCGCTTTTCACAAGTTACTGACAGGTGCAAGGCTTTCCTTTGGCAGGTCTCTGAAATAAAGCAGAAGTCAGGTTTGGTGAAAGCAGTTACTGTGATTTATAAAGCAACATTTAATATTAAAGCAGAACACGAAACTCCTTGTGTTTGTTGAGCTGTCAGATGGAAAAACTCTGACTGAGCCCTACTGAAACAGAAGACTTTGACCATTTTGTAACACCTTTGATGCTTCTAAAGGAGGAGAGATCTTGAAATAACAACTTAGATGTTCTACATCTAATATTCAGAAACATTTTATATAAAAACATGTAAAAATCAAAGATTCCTTAATAACTACAGAAAGGATTTGGTATTTTTCATTAATTCTCCAATTAAAAAAAATCTCAACTCAAAATGTAATGATTACTATCCAGAAGGAATGTTTTTTGGTGTCTGTAAATAGCACTTTAGTGCACAACAGTGCTGAAGACAGTTTCCAGCAGTCTTGGAACATGGTAATCTTTTTTCCCTCAGCTATTAAAATAAATACACACGGAAGTATTTGTATGTATATATGTGTGTGTCTATATGCTGCTGTGCCAGCTTTCACAGGCATTTCACAGCCAGACACAGCACATTTTGTGACTTCACACCTCCACTTAAAGCAGGAAATCTCACCTGACCTCACTCCTGTCTAACACAGTTGTATCCAAATGGTGTCAGAATGTGAAGGAAAACTTGAACAAGCGGGAGAGGAGAACAAATGGAAACATTCTCTGGAACACTCCTGCAGGGTGAGGGCAGCAGCTCAGTACTGGACAGGTACCGTGCCCTGGCTGAGGATTGATCTGGGCTGTGCCTTACCTGGAGCTCCATGAGAGATCCGTGATTTAGAACAAAACCCCCCAGACTGGGAAGGGGATTCCAGTGACCTGTGCTGGTGAGAGTGGCTTAACATCAGTGTCCAATTCTGCGCCACAAACCAGGATGCCACATCACACCAATCCCACACCTGAAAATCTCCACTGGCAGGAAAAGGTGTTCTGTGCTACAGAAAATTCCCTGTCAAATGGCTCCTGCTGGAAGGATGCCAGGAAAACTCAACACAGTGTAAGGAGAGCATGAACTGGGACTTCCTCACTGAGGGTTTGATTTACCTAGATGGGTTCCAGGGAAAAATAACAGTACACAGCACAGTGCATGGATACATCAGCCTGCTGCACTCAGCACTTCTTGCATGGAGTGATTAAAAATGAACCCCTGGTAAATTGTGCAGCAGGAGTTTTCTACTGAAGGAATTAAAGCACAATTTCACCGACTTTTATAGTCCTTGCTTTCCCAGTTGCTGCAACCTAACACCACTGAGTCAAAGGAAGATGAGGAGAATTTGAGTCCTTGTTTTGTTTCCAAGGTAGGCCTTCTGTGTACAGAGTTGCTGGGAGCTGGGCTGCTGCTGCTTGGTAGGGAACTGATGTTACCTGAGCAAACAAAAAATATGCACCAAAAAAAACTTTTCATGTCTGTTTTTAGCACCTGCCAGCCAGGGATGCTGAACCTCGGTGGCTCGTTGTGGTCACACCCAGAAAGTGCCTCCTCCCCTCCTGCCCTCTCTGCCACATCCCTGTCGGTGCCCTGACTTTGTTATTTCTGAGCTGCACAGAGGGGAGTGAGAGCAGAGCCATTCCCAGGAGAACAATTCCAGTTCAGGTGTGGGCTCCTGCACGGCCATGTATCCACAGGAGCTGCAGAGAGTCACGGATACTCCAGGTGCACATCCAGGGGGAACCCTGCCCCCCATCTGTGCCTGTGCTGCACTCCTGAGAGGAGGAAATCAAACCTAAAGGCCTGGCAGCCTTGGAAAAGCGTTCCCATCGTGACATCATCTTCTAGAAAAAAATAAATCACAGCCTATCTTTTTGCAAATTGGCCTGTAAGTTCCTGGCAGCAAATCAATAGATACAAATGAAAAATAACAAGGCAACAACAACGCTGTGTATTATCCTGGGCCCCAGATGAAAGCCTGGGGAACGATCAATATGATAAAGATTCAGCACTGCCACTCTGCTACAGAGGAATGGCAAAGTAACAGACTGACTTCAGAAGGCAGCTGTAAAACACACCAAACCCATCTGCCACGAGATGGAAAGAAAATCCCAAATATAAAACACTTCCTCATTTGTTTGTCTGTTTCTTCTCCCCCAGACTTGCATTAATTTGAATGGAATTCAAGGAAGCAGTATTTTTTTTTTTTTGCTGTTTGGAGGAAAAACAAGGAAAGAAGAGAATCATCCATTTATCCTCAGCCCAGGAAACTCAAAGACAAAATCTCACTTGCACACCACAGGAACATGAAAAGGGGAGGTTTTCCCCCAGCACCTGCCTGCACTTTGCTTATCTCTGATGTTAATATCAGTTTTAGTTGGCAGGGGCACACAGCACACAAGGGACAGGCATGCTGAGGAGGTGGCCCACGTGTGGCACCTCCCTGCAGGCTCACAGGGAATCATTTCCAGTGCCAGCTGCGGGGCTGGCTGTGCACAAGCCAGCAGAGTCAGCCCTGAGGCCAAGAACTACGAGGTGACTGATCAAGCAATGAATTCCTGTGGTTATTTCTCCCTGTCAGTCTGCAGCCTGCTCTTTGGACAGAGACTTCCAAGTTAGACAGTTAAGGAGAGGGGATGAAGGCAGAAGTGAGGGAGAAGAGGCAAACCCACTGAGGACAGGAGCTCTGCACCAGCCCTGCCCATCCAGCCTGTGCCCCTGCCAGAACAAGCTGAGCAGCTGCCTCAGGCATTGCTCTCAGTGTCTACCCACAGCGGCCTTACTGGGCAAGATTTTATACATGAGAGCATAAAAAGGTGATGGCAGCTTGTGCCAGAATTCCCAGAGCTGTGTGAAATAACTTCCACAGTCAGTGCAACACGGCCCATGGCAGTTACCCTTCCATCTCACTTAGATCTTCACTCTGGAGTACCAAGCACAGCGTGAAAATAAAATGCCTTTCCTGAAAGGCAGCCAAAAGCCAAGGTTTTCAAATTCCAGTTTATGTTCAGAGCTTTATCACAATTTCATATGAATAACAATTTCATACAAATAAGTTCCTAGCATAGAAATTCCCACAATTGCTTCAAGGTGCATTTAAAGTCATTTATCTCCATAAGGCTGCATTGCCCTCAGAACTTTAAGACTTACCTCAATGTTAATCCACCGTTTGTGGTTACAAGGACAGAGCAGAGATCCTCACGTAGCTTCAGCCCCAAGACATGTCACCACCTGTGACAGGGGTGACAGGTGACAGTCCCCTCCTGATCCCATAAACCACGAGCACTGAAGGTACTGTGGCCTTCCAAGTACAGGGTGGAAGTCTCAGTGGATGTGATGACTTCCAGTTCCTGTGGCACATGGGCCAAGGGAGATGTTGGGAAGTGCTGCTGGAAGGCTTCTCTGTCAGGGCACACTCCCATCCTAATTCTGGAGATTTAGCAAATTCTGCTTGCATGGAGTTTTTTACCCTTTGCAGTGTCTGTCTCCCTTTGTCTTTTAAACAGCATTTGTTGCAAATCAGAACCACCTCAGAACTGAAAAATCTCACTGTGGGGATTATCTAAAAAAAACAATCAAAATTCTTTATAGAAATAAGATGAGGTTTTTCAGACAGCTGCAGTTCCCACCTGTTTGCAGCATTTAGGGGAAGAAACTCGGAGGTGTTTTCCCAGATTTGCCAAAGTGATTTCTGCATTACCTAGTCCTTCTGCTCTCCCTTAGCACAGAAGGGAGCTGTCACTGTCAAACCTGAAGGGACAAGTCTCAGGAGATGCTCCCCCTGAGCCCACAGCACAGCCCCTTTTCCATGCAGGCTGGAAACCGAGCCCATGGCACCATCTGGAATCCCTGTGACAGCCCAGGAGCAGCAGCAGCAGAGCAGCAGCAGCAGCAGAGCAGCAGCAGCAGAGCAGCAGCAGCAGCAGAGCAGCAGCAGCAGAGCAGCAGCAGCAGCAGAGCAGCAGCAGCAGAGCAGCAGCAGCAGAGCAGCAGCCTATTACCTTGAATGCTAATTCAGAGCTACATGTATTTTCAAAGACCAAAACCAACTCTCTTCCCCTGCCATAAAGCTAAACAGAATTCTGCTTGCTGTTTTCGAGCAGGCTGGAAAATCACACAAAGTATGTTTTTAGTGTTTTTTAGCTCCTTTCCCTTTTTCATATGAGTCATGGGCCCCAAGAGCAGCCTCAGCTCAATGAAACAGGCAGTCAAACACTACACAGCCCTTGCTGAGAAGAAACACAATTAATTTTCAAATTTCCTATAGGATTTGTAATTAGCAGAATCTGATTTCTACAGCTGAGGTATCCCAGACCTCAAGTATCCCACTTCAGGAGCCATGATGCTTTAATTCAACCAGAACAGCTTCTTAATATTGATTTTTTGTGCTCAGGTGTTTGCATTAAAAGCCTGCTTAGTCATAATGTGAAGCAAAACAGGGATAATTCAAACCAAACATCTAAACCCAAGGAAAGTCAGAGGGGAGGGAAAAAAAAAAGACATGTCAAAGTCAACAGGGAGTGAAATATTTGGAATCAGTCCTCAGTCTTGCTGATTTTAGGAGAGAACACAAAAACACAAGGGTGAAAATACACCACATGTAACCAAACAGCTGCCTGCTCTAGTTAAACACTGTGGAAGAAAACATTTCCTTGCTTCACAGTGTGCCCTCCTTTCCACTGCTAAAGTCTGGAGCTCTGGAAAGAGCACACGGTGATCTGCTGGTCCAGAGGGCTCTGAAAGCAGAACCCCACTACTGTCCTAAAAATAAATACAGCTTCTCTTTGCCAGTATCCATTCATTCTTTTGTGTAAGAAAAATGGGAATATGTTGGTTGGATCTCCAGACCTCTTGCCCTTAGAAATGGACATTCATACCTTGAACACAGAACTGCCAACTCACCTGTGGAATTTTTCCCGAGGTAGGAGGGGACATCCTGGGCTGCAGCTGTCAGGCACCAAG